AATATAATGTGGAAAAGCCCCTTGTGTCATTTGAACTAGAATTTTTAGATGGGACAAAGGGGAAGAAATATGAGAAAAATAAGGTTTACTACAAACCTTTCTGTTATGCATTGAATTGATAGAATCAGAATAGTAATGATTATTGAGTATTTTAACCACTTCCTTGCCTGTCCATCAAAAATGTGCTCTGTGGCCCACCCAAGAGAAACAAGCGCCCCTAGTGTCTGACTGTGGTATCTGCCCTCTTCTCGTAGAAAAAAACCAGAGTCCTTTGGACAAAGCGCAGAGTCAAGGCCTGTGCTGAGAATGTACCAGATAAACCTGAAACAACTTGGACTCGGTGTTCTGATAAGAAAACTGCTACAGGGCCGGCCAGATAGCTCAGCGTACTAAAGTGACTGCTTAGGCAGACGCGGGGACTGGGGTTCAATCCCCGGCGTGCGGTACTGACCTTGCCCTCCGAGCACACTGAGAAGGTGATTGAGACTGGGCATGGTAGCGCTGGCCTGTAATCCCAGCGCTTGGGAGGCTGAACACAAGAGGCTCACTACGAGTCCGATCTGTGTAATGAGACCCTGTAGACCCTGTAAACCCTGTTCTAAATACATTAAAAAAAAAAAAAAAGAAAGAAAGAAAAAAGAAAGTTGTTAAACACTATTAAGCCACATCAACAGGACTAGGGAGCCTGTTTAATAGGTCACCGATTGCCAAAAATGGAGCTATTTGGGCATCAATAAGCATAATTATTGACATAAAATGAAATGCATCAAATACATTTAAACCCACACATTTGTAACGGTGTTAGGAATTGTTACCTTAGGACGATGCAGTGGTGCCCATTCACTACTCAGAAAACTGCAAAGAAAATATTTTTTTCCAGTCTTTCTTTTACAGACTGTGCCACATTTTTGATAAGGAAAGTTTTTCTTTATATCCAGCTAATAAAACAGAGAATGGATGACAAACCAGAAGTTTGCCTTTTTGCAAACTCCTAACCAAAATGTAAGTTTGCGCAGTATGCAGCTGAGAGCCAGCCCTGGCACCTTGTAAGGCCGGCCGGCCTTGTGTGTCTTCTATCGAAGTACCCTATATCACCTGTGATTTGCAAAACACAGCAGTTCTGCATCTTCCCCTAATGCTAAATCAAACCGCCAGTTTTCAGGAAACTCAAGAGAAAAGAAATCATGTTTAATAATCTCTTAAGAACGCAATGAACAAAACCCAGAATATGGGAAATTCTATAGAACAAACTGCCCAATTTCTTCCATAGTAAACTGTAAGAGAGAACATGATCAGGAAACTAGAATGCAGGCCGGTCAAATAGCTCAACGGATTAAAGTGCCTGCAAGCAGGCGCAGGGGCCAGGGGTTCAATCCCTGGGCCTGCCGTGCCCGCCCCACCCCCAGAGTGCACTGACACAGCAACTGAGACTGGGTGTGGTGGCGTGCACCTGTA